ATATTATGAATCACTCAATTCTATATGTTTTCAAAGACATCGTGATTTATGTTGGACCCAAGTTTGTCTGATTGATCGAAGTATTGAACCACTGGACTCATTTTTTATTGCGGGATTAGGTTTTCCAAAATTCCAACAAATATTTGACCATTTGTGCTATTTATCATTAGAATCACGGAAAGGTAACACAGATTGGATATCACAAAATGCGGATAAATATATATTAAAATCTATAAAGGAAATATATACCTTTTTAAATAATTGTTTAGAAACTATAAGTGAAGACGAACTTCAAGAAACTTTTCAAACAGATGAGCCTGTATTTTTAAATGGCGAGAATCCCTTTACAGATAGTTGGAAAAGTGGAAATCAACTTGTATTTGATATTCCGGGGGACATTGATAACAATTTATGCAAAGTTAAACCAAATCTGGAGCCATACAAAAGATTGTTAAAGGCTTCTGGTGCAAAAGAATTGAAAGGGATTAATTATAAAGTAAAAGTTGGTGAATATTCTCAACGAGATAAGTTATTAAAAAGGTTAGATGATGGTTTGGCTGGACATCCGGCTACTCGTCATCATGATGTGATATTTAAAGTTGGAGATGAAGAAATGGAAGAAATTGGTGCAAATAGATATGTTTTATCTATCAAAAAACAATCCATTATAATTTGTGAAAAAAGAAAAAATTTTTTGTCTCTAAATAAATACTAATTAATAAAAATTAATTAATTGGATTTTGAATCAAATAGATTCATTGTATTTATTTTATTGTTCATCTCTTTTAGTATTAAGGAAAGAAGTTGCATAACAGCACATTATTTAAATTTAATTTTTTTAAAAAAAATAATCAAAAAATTTTCCTCCTTTCTCTTGTCGCTTGTTTTAAAATAATACTTCCCCTTTGTCTTGTCGCGTATTTTCAAATAATACCTCTCCTTTTTCTTGTCGCGTCTTTCCGCCGGCATCTCCAATATCATTGTTTCTTTGCATCGTTATCAACTCTTCATTGTCCTCAATATATTGATTGCATCGTTCAACCAATTGATTTGCCCTGCTATCCTCTGCCCATTCCTTGACTTCTATAACATTATCGGGCCCAATATAACGACTAATCAAAATCTTTTCTTCTAATCTTTCTTTTAACTCATCAATAACATACATATCAGAATATTTTAAAATTCCAAGTAATAATTTCAAGTAATAACTTTCATAATCATCAACTTCTGTCTTTT